TTTCACAGCTAGAGATGTACGATTCTTATTGTTCATTTGAATATATTCTTTAGGAAAACTATTCACCGCCTTTACTTTTCTTTCCCTCCTACCAGCCTTTTAACCCAGCGACTTGGAGTAGTACGCCCTTAGTTCTCTGTTTTTATTTTGAGACGGCATCTGGTTGTGTTCACCAGGTTGTCTTGAAACTCTACAATCCTCCATCTCAGACTTCCAAGTGCCTGCAATTACAGAGGTGTACCGCCATGTCCAGCCTCTTACCCAAGGTTTAATTGGGCCATTTATCATTTTCTCATTGATTTGTAAGAGTTTTTGTTATTTTGTATATATAGTCTTTCTGGTCTATCTGGGAAACAGGTTCAGAGATTGTTACGGATGGTAAAATTTGCATATTTGGAAGTTCTTTACATAAAATGGCACACGTTTGAATATTACCTGCACGCACCCTCTCACGTACTTTAATCTCCAGGTAACTTATAACATCTAGTGCACTATAAATATTATATAAACCTTTGTTGCACTATATTGAAACAAAAGTCTGTGTATATGGATTATCTCTAGAATATTTTCTATTTGTACTTAGTTGAATCCATGGATGGTGAAGGTCTATTCTAATTGTTTGTCCTTATCAGATATTTTCTTTGGAAATGTCTTCTGTTGTCCTGTAGGTTCTATTTTTATTTTCTTCATGCACCACTTTGTAGGACATTTTCCTAATCTTTATTAAGCATAATTTATTGTTTTAGTTGCTTGTGATTTTGATATCAGGTCTATAAGGCTTGTCTGATCATGAAATGACAAGAATGTACTCCTGCTTTGTAAGCATGTTGAAAGTTTTACTTCTTAAATTTGGCTCATTGATCTATGTAGTATTGGTTTTTGTAAATGGCACAAGAAAGGGGTCCAATCTCATTCCTTTGCAAGTGACTGCAGTGATGTCTCAGCCTCGCTCTTTGAAAACAGTTTGTGGGTGCATGAATTCGTACCTGAAATCCTACCTATCAACACCCTCAACAAGTTGTTTTAAGTAATAGCCCGAGTCAACCAAGAAATAGAGAAGGCAAATGGGGCTGAATAACATCAAAACAAAACATGAAATATTTTTGTGGAATATGTGAAAGCAGGATTTTGAATATGGAAGAAAATATAATAGCAGTGGAATTCTTTGGAGAATGAAGATGGAAGCAGTTTGTTTTGAGCTCACTGTATCCTCCACCTCTTACTAGTCCAGGCATTGGAATTGGAGAGGGAATCACATTCAAATGTGCTTAGTTTCTGACTCTTCAAAAAGTCCTTGGTTAATCTAAAATTCCAGCCATGGTGTGTGCTTCTGCTCAGTAGATGAAAAAGAAAAGAATCCCAGCTTCCCAAGGCACCTGGACTTCATTATAAATTGAAGTAATGCAATAGAAAAGTCAGAATAGTCAAAGAAGAAGAAAAAGTTTGGGAGAAATTATGTATAGCTTCTACGCTTTGGTGCTTTGTTTTTAGTTTAGTTTCACTTGGCGTTTTGAACACCCTCTGAAAAAGCACTATTACATTCTTCAACTTAATTAATTAGAAAATAAAATAAATATATTAGGTCAGTGGAATAACTTTATGGAAGTAGGTGGCATCCCAGACCTGAAGTGAGATGACAGTTGAATATAGATTGGTGTGGAGTTTAGTGGGAAAATGTAGAACAGTAGTCAAGAGTGAGGGAAAGGATCTGGTCCAAGATTCACTGAAAAACAGTGAAGCTGGTTCACCTGGAAGAAAACTGTAAACAGCTATGTTTTTAGCATGAAAATGCTATGCTGTACCTGGTATGAGTGACCTCCAATAGTTATCAGATATGGCGCACACACCTATGGCTTTGAACAATATTGTTGTCTACTAGCAGCCAATTTGGAATTACTTATGCAAAGGAATATCATTATGCATGAAGGCTTGTATAGTAGTAGATAGCCAGAAGCCATGGAAGTATTGCTTCATGTGTTAGAATCATGTTACACATTCTCCAAGCATGTCCCATTTGGAGCCAGAGAACTTAGAACCAGCATAGTGGGAAAGCAGCTCCTGCCTTGCAGCTTCCCATCCGCCTCTGCTCAATATCTCTGAAAATCTAGAAAATTCCATTAAAAAAACTATCCCTCAACTGAACAAATTGCTTCCTTATAACTGCAGATGCACCCACAAAATACTTCCCCAAATATTTATTATTTGCAACAATAAATGCAAAGTGGCCTTTTAACTCCTTATGTAAGTGGATGTCAGGATCAGAAAAAATGACTTATGGTATTATATTTAAAAATTATGCTGGCAATGGCTTATTGATTTATTGGGGACCTGGCCAAGATCCCCAGTCTCCCAAATGAGTATATGGTAAAGGCCTAAATAAACAAGACAAGTGCTATGATTTTAGGGCTCCAGGAGGATTAAAACCCTCTAGCACAATTCAATACTCTGGGCGCTGAGGCAAGGAATGTCTCTGGGCAGCCCGTATTTATTTAGTTTTTAAACAAGAAAGGGGTTAAGCAAGAGCTTGGAAGTGGTTCAAGTACTATTAGAAGTAACACATTATGTTAATTTAGGAAAACTGTCTTATAAAGGCTCCAGATGGACTTTCACTACATGATGCAACTACCATCTCTGTCTTGTTAGTTGGGGCTGGATCCAGGTGTCCTCAGCTGTGGCCTTCTCTTGCCCTTTGAGGTGTCTATTTGTCCTCACATCAGCCATTCCCAGCCATGCTGCAGCCCTGTCCATGTGTTCTATTTACAGCTCTGGCGGCTGCCAACACTGATGGATGTAGTCCAACCCTCTTCCATGCACTCTGGAACAATAATACTCCCTTCGAGAAGCTACACTCACTTGCTCCACCTCCCAAACCCAAAATTTCATTAAGATTTGCAGTGTTTCTGCATTTTCTTATTCCAGACCTCTGACTGGTTAGGGCCCACACAAGTCTTCCACCTTTCTCCCCTTGAAAGCTGCCATGAGGAAGGGTGGCATTCTTTACGGAGTGAAGCTCTTCAATGCTGCTCTTAAGCTGTTTGAACCTGTTGAATAAAGAGAGCAGTCATTCCATTTTGATGGTAGAATCTTTATGATTTAAAATCCAGGAATAGTAAGTGGCTGTCTTATTGTGTAAAGAAAGTTGGTTTGCACTGAGTAGAACAAAGCTTTTGCAAGGGAAGGGACAGAAAGAGGTCATAGTCACCTGCTGGAGTTCAGCTTCTTGGCTCTAGAGCTGAGATCTCATGGAAACCTGTTCTTCTAGCTCTGGATGGCTCCATATTTTCTAGAATAAATGACTAAACACTTTTCAACCTAAATTTGTCCAACCTGGCTACAGATCTTACAACCAGAGAAAAACCAAAGGACAAGTTTAGGTAACACTTAAGCTGCCTCTATGTAAGGAAGAAATTTGATGGATTTAGTGCTAATTCTCTTGTTCTTTAGTGAGTACCTAAACTCAGCCTGCTTCCGCATCAGGGTGATATAAAAAAACATGCTGTATGTTATCCTTAAACCACAGTAGGACTCTGCATATCTCAGACTCAAGTGGAAATAGAAGAGTCTATCAAAAATGACCTCAACATTAAGATAAAGGCTAGAATTACATTAGAAAGATTATTTAAAATCATGTGTATTTATGCCTGGTGTTAAATACTTTTAAAGTTATATTTTTTTAAAAATTTATTTTAAATTATAATAAGAAATTTGAATTTATATTTTAAATATACATATAATTTAAGTATATAATTTTAAATATACATAAAATTTATGGATGCATATAGTGTATGATTTAATTTACAAGGTTTATATCACCACTACTGATCAAAAAATCAAATATATGTCAACACTTCCAATATATCATGAGAAATATATTAGACTCTGCCACAAGTACCCTTAATGATGCTTCATGTAAAGTGAGTTTTTTGGTCATTATTCAGTTTAAAAGCTACCTGAATCTAATGATGTAGACTGTGCCTGTACAATAGTAACACTGTATCTGTGACTACAGATGTAACCAAAGAAGTCTCTGCACTGTTCTTGATGGGATATCCTCACTGTGTTTGCTGGTTTTTGCTGCTGAGATCTGACTTTCTTTACTGACTGCTCACAGCAGCGGCTGAGCGGGCATGCGCAGGAGCATGAGTCTGTTTCTTTCCCTCTCTCCCTGCTGCAAAAACATTGTACATTTCCTTTTATTTTTGGAGCCAAGGGTGAAATCAGCTTTTTTTGAAGAGCTGCTTGTGATTTTCTATTATTATGATCATGATTATTAATTTTTGCTATGGATTTTTAAATCATTTCGAAACAGGAAAGCTCTCCTTCTCCTGCTGGTCTGATTCCCTAAGGTATATGTTGGCTTTTTCTTAAACTCAGTTTCCTGTGAAACTCTTTTGAAACAAATAACTCTTAAGTTTGTCGAGACTGAACTGGGAAAAGGGTCTGGCTGGAATGTTAGATATGTTACCTTCAACTCTGTGTGATTAGTTATAAAACAAATATATTTGAGAAGAAATGAATTGGAGTTTCTCAAAATAAGCTTTCTTGTTAAAGAATAAAAGGGATGAGAGAAAGTGACAGATACCAGAAATTGGAAGTTTCATCAAAATGTAGCAGAAAGTGCACAAAAATTAAAATATAATTAAATGAGAATGAAGAACACCTGACACTGATCTGGCACATAAAATAGTACATGAGAAGAATCTTAAACCATAATCATGTTAGCCAGTATTTAGCTGTCTCCCAGGTATTGTCCTTTTAATTTGTATTTTGAAATATGATCTGTACTTGAATATTGTTAAATGTGAGAACTGAGGATTGTCTACCAATATGAATGCTCTATAAATATATTTTAAATATAACTCGCAGAACTGTGGATAAAGATCCATAGCCGCACATATTGATGGTCATAGAAATTTGCATTTGGAAGCATCCATAGGAACCTAAGGACAGGACCCCATAACACTCATTTACACATTAGGTGTATCTGGATTCTGTTTCAGAGGTGATTTGTAAAATGAGGAAAGAACTCATGTTTTGGGCTTCCGTATGTCTGCTGCTCAGTCTCCTCCCTGCTGCTCTAAATATGGACCCCGAGGAAGAAGAAGAAGAAGAAGAAGATTATATGGATACTACAGGTAATGTGTTAGAAGCATTATTTCCCTTTTAGTTTTCAAAGCTCTCCAGTTTAGTATTAAACAATGTGTTATATTTTCTGTTTTTCCATAACTAATGTGTGTGTTTGTCTGAGTGTTTGTTTCCTGTGTGACAGGCTCTCACTCTGCAGTTCAGGCTGAGCTGGAATCCCTGGATAACCCAAGCTGGCCTGGAACTCACAGTGACCCTCTTGCCTTAGCCTTCAAGTGCTGGGATTACAGGCATGCGTCACCGTCTATGGCTTCTATGTTTATTTTTAAACTAAGCTCCAAATTGGGTCATTTTAGTGAAAGCTTTGTTGGCAGTATTAAACACTGTAGTGATCCTGAAATATTGCAAGAAGCGACGTGTTGCACAAACAAATCTCTGGCCCCGATAACGAGAAGGAAAAGAGGCTGGTGACATCCTTGGCTGGGGACATCATTGACGGCAGCCCCTGTCTCCTTCTTACTTATATTCCAGTTCAAGAATTTCCCAGGTGAATTGCAACAATCACCTCGTGCAGGAGAGCAGAGGATCTAGTCATCAGTTCTAGTCCATAAATCTCAGAGTCTAAAAATGAGAACACTTACAGTGCAAACAGATAAGGAAGAGACTGTACATTGTTATTTTAGGTAAAAGGTATAGTCTTCTGTGAAAGTAAAATTATGTAGCAAGTTAGTGACCTGCTCGTAGAAATGTCAAAATGTCAGTGACTGTGAGGATACTCACCTGGGGACAGCTTCTAGTGTTTGTGTAACAGTTTGTGATGTGCGCTCGGTTCCCCAAGTACAGTCGTATTTCACACAGCCAGCAGCTCTTGAAGATGAGTAGGTTCACTCTGTTTCCTTTTAATGAAGATTAAATACATGCCTGGTGATGCCTGCAGCTGTATGTTTGAGGCTGGGAAAACCGTGATAGCCAAGAGCAGTTTCTAGGAATCTCAGTTTCATGGAGAGAGCTGAAGCGCAGACGGGCTACATCGGCATAGTCCAGGAAGCAGGTGATACTCAAAGGGGACACTCATGCAAGGAGAGAGGAGGTCCCCCCATTCCTGACTGCCTGCGAACTTGGATGGGAAAGTAGGACTGCAAAAATTTCTGGGAGAGAGAACTTGGTACAATAAAGTAAAAGCAATAGTGTACATTTTGAGATGTAATAAGATGCCTTTTGCCCTTCATTTGGCTCTTTTCTTAGAATGAGGTGGGATAAAATAATGATGTCTTGAAACTAGCAGTGTATGGACCAGGCATGGTGGAGCATTAATATAATCCTAAGGAGGCTGAAGCAGGAGGATTGTAAAAGCAGACCAGCCTGAGAAACTTAGTGAGACTTTGTCTCAAAATCGAAAGAGTGGAATGGGATGCAGTGGGCGTGTGGTTCAGCAGAACCTCACATGTGTGAGATCCTGTGTTCATTCCTAGATGGGAGAGAGAGACAGACAGAGACAGAAACAGAGACAGAATAATGTCCCCATCCTGGTCTGAGGATGAATGAGCCAAGTGCTCTCAGGGTCACTTCCCTCACCTGGCTGGGACAGTCCCTGCCGGGAACCCAGGAGCCCCCTGAAACTCCTGCGGCTGTGACAGCAGCAGGAGCCAGAATGAACTCATCATCGCAAGTCTGAAGCTTACAATCCACCGCAAGGCTCCTTAACACCTATGTGGCTAAAAGATAACTTTGGTTTTAAGGTAGTCAACATAGTCATATGTACCTGGTTTTTCTTTTGCTTCTCCATTGTCTTTAATTAATCTTTCAATATCATAACCTCATCTGAATCAATTTGTCACGTGGTCCAAGGTCAAACCATCCTTTTATAAAAATACATCAATGTGATGAAATACAGCACCATCTTTTATAGAAAAATGTACCAAATTCTGCAGCTTCTCTCATGGTAGACTGCTTAAAAACACCAGAGCAACCAGCAGGGAGGATGAAAGACAGTAAAATTATTGATAAGAAAATAATAATACAAACAAAAACTCCTTTTAAAAAGAAACATCCTTTGCACTAAGACCAATGAGACCAGCAGGAAGCATTTAGATAAAGGCAGGTATGTTCTTGGAGGTTTAGAACCAGACCTGTATTGATGGGTGAGATTTGCCACCCCACAATTTTTATGCAATTAAAAATTATTTAAATTCTATGACTTCCAGTATCCTAAACTACAAAGAAATTGTATAACTACTACTGTACAACTGTTGTATAAAATGCACAAAGCTTGTGGAACATTTTTCCAGCAAAGACGTACACGTCTGTATTTTCTTTTCAAAACAGTGAAATTCATTAGACAGTAGCCTGTGGACTCATCGTTACTAGGTTACTGAGGGCCATGAGTTCACAAACAATTTCCAGGAGAATGAAGATATAGCCAAAACCTGCTCGTTTCCTTTGGCACAAATAGCTCACCGAGGCTGGTGTCCAACTGGTCAACCCAAGGTTGCCAATAATCGGAACATGAACTCCACTGAGAAGTGAAAACCCAGATGGAAAGTTGGCCCTTTTGAGTGGAGAGCCACACACTGTGGGTCAGATGACACCCCTGGACATGTCCCTTTCCAGGGCTGTGTGCTCAGGTGTGAGCCACACACACAATGCAGAGTTTTCTAGCACAAGGCTGCTGAAAGGAATGTACTGCATTATAAAGGCCAAAGAAGAATAATCAGCTTATAATTACTAGAATTTAGTCAAAGTTGGATAGCAATTGCTGTGAAATTATCTTTTATCTTCGAAATTACTTTTAGCTTGATAACTATTAGAAAAAAATGTTACTGAGAATAAATTTTGTGTGAGTAAATGTATGTGCTTGCTCCCACTGTCAGCCTAGGAATCGAAGCCTTGCAGGTCTGTGACAGGCTCCCTCAGTGATTAAGGACGTGTGTAGGAGATTTGCTTTAAAACCATTACAGAGCTTTGTATCCAACGGTAAGCCCATCCTGATTGGGCAATTTATTAAATTTCTGCAATGTATTTTTATGATTTGTAAAGTAAAGCTGACGCCTATCTCAGAACGTTGGGATCACGAAATGATATGATGGCAAAAAGTGGGGAGCCCAGGCATTATTCAGGAAAATTAACTGTCATTGTCACTGTAAATTTGCAATTTTGGTCTCCGAGCTCTTGCTTTTGTGGTGCACTCCCGCCACCTTGTGGCAAACTTGTTAAATGGCATGCTGAACCTTGAGTAGAATGATAAAGCTTAACAAATAGATTAAATAAAACAGTAAGGAATCATCATTGAGACAGAATCTTAGGATAATTACTAATTTATGAGACGGGTTTCTCTGAGTGTATTTTCCAGCTCAGTTGTTAGGTGGTTTCCTGTGTTCCACAAGTCTATAGTTAACTGCTAAAGGTGTACAGCTTTAGGTACTAGTGGTTTCTAAAGTTCCAAAGCAACATCACCAGGGGAATCAAGGCCACCATATTATATGAGGAGAACTGTAAACATTTCTTTTACAGCTAAAGTTTTACAGTTTAATATTCAAAGTGCCAGAATATTTTTATTTTGGTTCATTTCTCAAATTAAGTAAATTCTGAGTTCTGGGATCAGATATTTATTGAATCAATAGATCGGTTATTTACGAATTCCCCCAAAATGTGCAGAGCATAGAAACTTACAACACTAAATCTATCATAATAACAGAAAGTATCCTCCATGTCAGATACATCACGTAAGGTCTTTCTGCAAAGCTATAGGTTCTCATAATTCAACAACCTGAAGTATCATTTACAACTTTCTAAAATTCTTAGGCCTGAAAGTGTGAAACTACATTTGTAATTAGTTACATAAATGTACCATTCAGAAAAAGCTTTCAGTGACTTTGAATTTAGATTGACAAATATGTCAGTGATGAAAGAAAAAAATCACAAATTACTTTTATTTATATACAGATGCTTGTCCATAAAAAATACTTTCAGCCACCTCATAAAATGCAATTTATTAATACCATGTATATATTAAAGTTACATCAGGGCTGGGGATTTAGCTCAGCGGCATAAGCACCTACTTTGCAAGCAGGTGGTTGTGAGTTCAATCCCCAGTACCGATAAAAATAAATAAATAAATAAATAAAGTTACACCAATATAAAATTTAAGATTAGTATAAAACTATCAAATCTGAAACCATTTTTTAAGAACTGTAACCTGAATTATACTGCTTAACATCCACGTTTGTAGATAAAAGAAATTCTTGCTCTATCTGAGAGAACTATTAATAAGTTTATAGTTTAAAATGTTGCAGAGTTAAAAAGAAAAGAAACAAATTTTAAATATGTACATATTAATCAATAACTATTAACTTTGTGTTAAAATTATTTGCATAATACTACACCATATCTGTTGAATCTATACACGCATGCTATAGGTAAGAAATTATGAAAATTTTTTGGAAAATTTGTGTTTTGCCAACTGTATATAACCTGAGAAAAAGCTGATAACATGCAAATTCTGAGGTACATAAAATTCAATTTTCATGAAAATTTTGTTAATAACTCGCTAATTATGCAGTTCACAATAACTTTATTATAATTTTATTTCATATATTTGTTCTACTTTATCAAATATTTGGTCTGAAAAATTTCCATTCTATTGTTTTTGTCAAATCAATTTACTTTAGCTGAAAAAAGTCAATGCAGTTGTGCAATAGATCAAAACAGTGAGATGCTATTTTATACATTAAATCCACATTTTGAAATTAAAAATTGTATCATTAGTTGAGATAAAATTTACAGGTTCATATATAATGTCACCTATGTCAAACAGCAGCCAGCTGTCAAGTTATATATGAATATCAACATTTTTGCAAAGGCTATCATTTTATGGCTCATATAAAACTAAAGAACAGCATTCCTTTGTTTTAAAGTTTTAAAATTGTTAAAGTATGGTTATTATTTGATATCAATATATTATAAATTATTGGCATAATAAAATATTAGTGGTGGAGGATATTCAAAAGTTTCTAATCCAACTTGTATGATGTGCATATATTCTTTCAAAAATTTACTTAAACATTTGGAAGTTACAAAAATTTTAAAATATATTTACCTTTAGATGATTGTAGTTCACGGGTTTACCATTTGTTTGACAGCTCTAATCCGCTTTATATGAAAATGTTAAAGCGCCAGGTATTTATTTTATAGTACATTAAAGGCATGAACTGAAGACCTTGACTGGTTTTAATCTGGTAGAATACTACTGCCCTCTAGTGGAAGAAGTATTTTAGATAACAAGGTTTAAAAGCCCTACTTATAAAACCAGTAATCAATTCTCAAAGATTTAGAAATTTCCTGGATTCAGTATATATCACTACTCAAGGAGTACTACATGGTCCATAGTCATTCTTTTTGTCATTATTGTTTGCATCAATCACATTTTTTTTTCTTCTCAATTCCTTTTTAACTGACAGAGAACCTTGTGTTTACCACATACACTGGCTAACTGTTAACTATTAACCATATCAATAACTATTAACTTTGTGGTAAAATTATTTGCATAATACTATACCACATCTGTTGAATCTATACACTCTGCTATAGGTAAGAAATTATGAATTTTTTTTGGAAAATTTGTGTTTTGCCAACTGTATGTAACCTGAGAAAAAGCTGATAACATGAAAATTCTGAGGTGCACACCTGTGGTGTGCAGTAGCTGGACCTGTCTCCTTAACACAGCACTGTATCACATAGTTACCACTTCTGATGCAAACACTTTATGTCCAGTTTTAGCATTTTTCAAGCATAAAATATACTACTAGCTATATTCACCAAGTTGTACAAAGACTCCTAAATCAGTTCATATTGTTCAAATGAAATTTTACATGAATTAAGTACTATCTCCCCAACTACCTATCAACAACTATAATTTTCAATCTATCTCATTGGTAATTTCTGCAATCAAATGCAGCATTATAAAAACTAGACCTTTAGTGATATTGCTAGACTTAGTAAAATCTGCACGAAAAATATTTCTTCGATGTGCATATCTCTTCCAACAACAAACAACATTCTCTGAACAAAAGAGGTCACTGAGCATTTAGATAAAAAATGTGTAACTCAGGGCAAAAAGATTTGTCTCATTCTATTGAAAACAGGATTGTTTGAGATTTTTCAGTATTATTAAATACAAATTATGGTAACTAAAAGAATACAACATGTATATTCATCCTGTAACATAAACACCTAAAATTATGTTTGCTTTTATATATTTAGGTTCTTATCTTATTTTTTTTGTAGTTTGGATAGAGCCCTGGTCCTTGGATGTTTCAGGCAGGTACTCTACCACTGAGCGGTATCTCCAGCTCTTTATGGTTTTTGTTTGGGAATCACTAAGCTACCTGGGTTGTTCACCAACTTGCAACTTGCCTGCCTCAGGCTCTCAAGTTGCTGGGTTTAAAGGCATCTGACACCACAGCCAGCTCTCATATTCATGTGTGTGAGTGTCAGTGAGTGTGTGTGTGTGTGTGTGTGTGTGTGTGTGTGTGTGTGTATGCAAATACATTATTGTCTCTAAAGATGTCTGTGTGTAAGATAAAGGAACTATAGATTAGGGAGAGAGGTCCAAAAACTGGTTCATCAGCATCTACTCCTAAAACTGCTAAATCAAACGGTGATTTCTATATTTCATTGTGATGGAGCCCCAGTCACCTGAGTGGGGAATGCCTCACAGCAAAGGCTCAGTTCCTTCTCTATCAGTTGGTTGGATCAAGTAATGACTATTAAAGAGTCTAGAAAAATTATTCAATTTTTCTCTGATAAATGAATGATATTAAACTTTAATAGTTGGTAAAAAGAAAGAGTGGTGATATGTTTAACTTGGTAAATTTATTAGCTAGATGTTTTACTAAAAAAGTAACTTTCCATGGTTTCTTAGAAGCCCATTTTGTTGTTATTATACTTTTCTTAAGATCAGGACATATTAAGAAAGAAATAAAAGGAAAAAGACATTATTATTGTGCTGATGGTGGATTACATGTTTGTTTTCATTTTTATCTAGAGAGTATCAATTGGGAGTCAAAGAAACCTGTGTTTACCTTTTGTGCGATGAGGGCCCAAGATGGGCCGTGCAAAGCGATGATAAAGAGATTCTTCTACAATATGTTCACTGGCCAGTGTGAAGAGTTCATATACGGAGGGTGCGACGGAAACCAGAACCAATTTCTAACCATGCAGGAGTGCAAAGAGACCTGCATAAGAGGTAGGTTTCTGGCCTGACAGCCTTGGTACTAATTGAGTCTAGTCGCAGATTTGATGCATTTAGAATGCAGTAATGAAATACGATCTGAGTGCTCCCAAGGAATCTCTCTTTGCTTTGCAATTTTAGCTGGCCCACTCACGTGCTATTTTCCGTTGTGTCATGTGTGATTATAAAATTACGAAGCATTGTTTACTGTCCCCTGGTTTCCTTAACAAAGAGGAAAGAAAAGCTCTTGAGACAGCTTTGCACTTGCAATGAGTCAAGTGTGCATCAGCCTCCCTGGTAACCGTGAGAGGCAAGAGAAGACCATCAGGTGGCTCGTCCCAGCTCAGAGCTGTCTTCCCTGCACACACAAATTCCAAGAACTCACTTGGAGATTCTCTAGCTACTAACTGGAAAACTCTGGTCAAAATTTTGAGTGCCAGGACCTTATTTGGTTTTTCTGAACTGTGAGCTACTGCAGAGAGAAAAGTCTGAGCCTCTGAATCCCCCAGGTCTCACCGGGTGTTCTGTCATGGCTCGGTCTCCATGCTGGTCAGTTGGTAGTGCAGGACCTTAGAGAGGACGCCTTGAGTGTGTGACACTACAGTGGGGCTTCTTTGTTATTCTTGATGATGATGGTGTTTTAGTTTTTTATTGCTACTTTTGTTTTTTGCCAAGCAGGCAGCTGTCTTTTCTCATTCTTTCCAAACCTGTTTAGTTCTTCCAAACGGTGCTGGTATTGTGGTGCCGTGGGCCTGTAGGAAACATCTCGGCGTGGTGAGAAGAGGGAGCCTCTCTGCTCTGTGCCTCTGTGACGTGCTTTGATGTGTGCTGAAGAGCTGACAGGAGAACTGGCAGGAGTCTATTTAACCTCAGAGCACTTCCTTCCTCGCTCTGCAGAGCTGCCCTGGATCCCTCACCAGGGCTCAGTGGCTGCTGCTGGGGCTGTGACTGGCTGGTCACTGCCCATTCATCCCGGATTTCTGTGCCCTGCTTTCTTTCATCGCCGTGGGCCGGCTGTCCTTTGTGTAGAGTGGAAAATCGCTCTTAGACTTCAGTGCCTTGGCTGGGGTTCTGCTTAGCTAATTCTTCGCAGTCCTCATTTTTTTATTTAGCAGTCTGCTTCCTTTCTTATCTGTTAGCTATTTATACCTTGGAAATTCATACCTGCTTCTTCTTCTTCCTTTAATAATTTAGCATCTCTATTTCAGCATTATGCAAAAAAATTATTTACCTTAGACTCTGTCAAATGTACAATCATTTGGCGCATTAGTGGCTTCCCACTTATATCTTTTAAATATCATTATTGAATATAAATAAGTGTAAATCCCTGACCCTCTTCCCCATCTCCATATTATCCTTTCAGTTTCTTAATATCATTGCATGAATGCCAGTGTTTTTTCTTACTAAAGTAAGCTACTGTTATGCTACAGTAGATATATAAAAAATACAACCAGACTTTTTTAAAAGTCACCCAAAGAGAAAATTCTTTCTTTAGCCATAATTGGTTGAGTAGAACTGTCTTTCCTAATGTAAGTATCTAAAAAGAATCAAAGCAAATATGTATCAATCGACTATTTGATGCCACTGATTAAAAGTGCCAGATTGTAATATCTGAGAGAAGGGAAATGCAGATGATGAGCTCTCTGTCCCTGAACTCTGCATGCAGTGGCTCTGGACCCGTGAAGGGGAGCTGAGTAAGGGACATGGAGGTGAGCAACTGGGAGGCAAAAGTAACTGTAGTTTTCAGAACAAGTTATGAGAGAAAATGACTTTATGCAGAGAAAAAAAGTCCTCAGACATTTAGGTGGTATCCTCCTTGAATTTTCACTGAATAAAAAAAAGTCTCCATTTATTTTGTAAGCTTGTACATGACATTTGACAATAGTTATTAAATAACTGTGGAAAAATTTCCAGAAGAATTTAATATTTAATTTAATGCTAGGACTACATAAGCCCTAGAGTAAAGGCTACTGTAAGCTTCCCCTCACAGTGCTTAAAGACAAACTCTACAGGATCTGGTGATCCGTACATAACTACTGGCCAAAAGGAAGTTCAAGACCCTTCAAAGGAAGACAGTTAAACCCTTCAACTAAAACTATAATATTCACAAAAATATCTATGATCGCTCCTTATCCAAAATACAAAACATTTAAAGAAAATGCAAATTGTACTCATAACTAGGACAAAAGTAACTCAGTTCCAGCAGCAAAAATAATAGGATGAAATTAGCAAACAAGAATTTTAAAACAACGATTTCTACTATACTGAAGAATTTAAAGAAAACGTGAATGTCATGGAGAAAATGTAATCTATAAAAGAGAGCTGAATGAAAATTCTGAACCCGAAACACATCATGTATGAAAGAAGAAATATAGCAGATTACTAAGAGTAGACTAGAAACTACAGAAGAATAGATTTAAAGACAACAAGATGTTCCTATATATCTTTTTTTTTTTTTTTTTTTTTTTTGTCTTTTTTGGTAACGGGGATCGAACTCACAACTGCCTGCTTGCAAGGCAGGCGCTTATGCCACTGAGCTAAATCCCCAGCCCCATGACAACAAGATGTTTCAAGCACTCTAGGCTCTAGCCACAAAAAAATAAAACATGAAATCTTGTCATTTGTAGCAACGTAGATAAGACTAGAGATAATCATATTATGTGAAATAAGCCAGGCACAGTAAGCCAAGGACAGTGTGATCTTGGTCACATATGGAATCTAAAACTGTCATCTCAGGAAAGTTGAGAGAGTAACAGTGGATGCCAGACAGCAGGAGCAGAAGCAGGGCTGTAGATACAGCAAGTAAAGGACCGAGGATATTCAGGCCCTGTAAAGTGATTACAGATAGCAGTGATAGATAGATACATTTAAGCTCATTTAAACATCACGTAATGCATACCTGCGTCAAATGCCACATCCTTCTCCATTAACATGCACAACAGTATGTTTTGTTTTGTTTTGAGACAGAATCTCATTATGTAGTTCAGGCTGGCCTTGAACTTGCTTATGTAGCCCAGCCTGGCCTTGACCTCACCAGTGATCCTCCTGCCCACCCTCCCAAGTGTTGGGATTACAGGCCATGCACCACTACACCTGACAAAATCATTTTTTGGTATAAGTTAAAAATATATTTATTGCTATACATGAGGTAGTTTTGTGGTTATAACCAAACAAAAAGTCTTGGGAGTATATAAGAAATTTAATTCTTACTGAGGTATTCTGTGTGTGAATAATTTTAATAGATAATAGGATGTGCTCCTGATTTGCTAAATGCCAACTGATATTATATTATAAATTCTGGCAATTGATATACATATTTTGTTTCTGTTGCAGAATATACACCACTGAAGAAGTCGACATTGGAAAAAGGTGACCATTCATTTATGTGTATGTTAGTAGAACTTAAGTAAGGCACTCAGATATTCTAGAAAATTCTAGGCTTTCCTGTGACAGAGTTGATCATAAAGGTGTATGATATTTGAAACGGTGCTTTGTGTTAGTGGGTATAGTGAAAAATGCAGAGACGCATAGCTTCCACGTGCTATTTGCTGTCATTCTAATGTGGGACAGTGTTTCCTGTTAGAAACTGTTTCCCTCAGTCCAAAGGTACAAGTGCTGTTTTAACAGCTCCCAAACAGTGAGGGAGATGTCGCTAGTCTTGTTTTTGGTCTCTGATCTCTCTAATTCCTTGTTAATGTTAGTGTTGTATCCTTAGAAAATTTTATACACCATTTCCCCAATAGATGGATGTGTTCCTGACAGTTTTATATTCAAGTATCACTGGAGATTTTAATAACAAGTAGTTGCCTTCATCAGCATCATTTACTGGGTGGTACATCTTTATTTTTCTGATTTGAATTATTTTATTTATTATTGTACCAAGAAATAATTTTTTAGTGAATATATTTTATCAGCCCAAATGCTAACAACATACCAAGTAAACCAGTCACCTTTTAATAAAGTACTTGATCCAATCACCACCTGTGGCAATTACATTGAAATACTCAAATATTAAGGGAAGACATCAAGTTATTTAACTCAAGACATGAGATATTACAGAATTCGTAATGATTTTACTTACTTTTATTTGATCATGTGAGAAAAAGTTGAAAATTTTTCATTATCAGTTTAATTGTGAGGCTTCATTTAGTGATCAGAATTTGGCAATTAATTTGGCAGATAATGGCAATTATCAGAAGACAAAAGACAACTTCATTGGTGGAAATCTAATTTATTTTTTTTCCTTATGAACAACAGTAAGGAAGTTTTCAAAACTTTAAAATTAAAGATAGAACTACTATGTGATCCAGCCATCTGATATATCCTGGGTCTATGTCAAGCGGAAATGAAATTAAGACCCTGAGAGGCTTTCTGCACGCCTGTGCTTATGAAAGCTTTATGAAAGCTGAGCTATGGGAGGAGACTTAGGTGTTCACCACCAGAGAAGTGGATAAAGCAAATGTGGTGTATTTACATGATGGAAAAATACAGAAATTGGAGCTTTGTCCAAAATATTCAAGTCCAGTAAGTCTTGTGATTGCACCATAGTTGGCCATTAGCTCACTTCTCTTTAAAGGGTATGTGTGTGACAGAGCTTAAGTGTAGATCACAGCACCACAACTTTGGTGACAGCTGTGTTATCCCAGTTTGGAATATTATCAAAGAAGGGCTATTGGACTTATGCAAAAGCCTCCTCAATCCCTGAACATGAATTTCCTTTCTGCCTCTGTGCTGTTGGAATTGTTCCAATACTTGGAAGAAAATCACTAGGGCAGGATATCATACCTAGTACAGATATTAATTCTAGCATGCAAAAGAATTCAGGAACTTCTAAGAATAGCCATAAAGGCTTCCGTATGTCTCAAATCTTTTCCAAATTTTAAAGTTAAAATCATTCTTAATGGAGTGCATACAGCACTGCGCTCTCTAATAATTCTCACACTTCAATAACGAAATATTCATAAATATTGATAGCTCAGTGTTAATAATTAAACCAAAATTTTCCATATCTTTTTCATTTCCAAAGCTTTTGTAGCACATGGTGAAATACCCTAATATCTTTTATTCACTCAGTTCCTGAAAAAAAATCTGGTAGTTAATTCCTTATTTATTTACCACACAAAGAGCTTGAAATGACAATTACAAAAATTTGTGTGACACTAATGTATTCATTTCCTAAGTACCCCCAAAAGATATGGCAGATGATTGTAATTTTGTAGATTTCCAGTAAAGTTACGCTCTTACTTCTGAATGTGTCACGTCTACCCATTAAACAACTATGTATCTAATTAAATGAACTATTTACCGTAAAAAGCATACTTTTGTGACCCTGTGATAATTTTTAGGAAAACCAGATTTATGCTTTTTGGAAGATGATGTTGGAATCTGTCGAGCTTATATTACCAGATATTTTTACAACAACCAAACCAGACAGTGTGAAACTTTCGTATATGGTGGGTGCCTGGGCAACATGAACAACTTTGAAACACTGGATGAGTGCAAGAACACCTGTGATAGGTCAGGTAAGTTCACCTTCCACGTTACTAGCGCCCTTTTACATAAGGAACTTTAGAGAGGCTCAGATCTGGCGGACTTTGTTTCAGTCATGTGATTACTTCCACATATTTCATCTTCTGTCCTCAGGATACTGTTGTGTAATTTTGGCGTAATGGTTGGATTTCTAAAATTTGTATTCTTATAAAATTTTGAGGGCAAATAGTTATGTGGTAACAACCACTTGAAATTAACCTATTTTATTCACTTACGTAAGTTAAAGGGGCAATTTAAATAATAACAGCTAGACATTGTGGACCATGAACTCCAAAATTCCTCCTGGAATTACTGTTTTATATTGTGCATATATGTAAAGTTCACTCCTTGCAAATATAGTGGAACAATGTGACTATTAGGACTTTTCTTTAAACAACTATTGTGCTTTGCTTCATGTATGCAAATACAAAATTGTGGAAATGCTCTCATGTTTTAATTAGCCATATCTGTTTTCAGAGAATGATCTCCAGGTGGATCATTATATAACCACACCTATTCCACTTGTCACTGTAAACACTAAGTTTGTGACTTCCCACTCTACCAAAGATCCCAGGATTTGGGGTAAGACTCTCATTTTTGTATTTGTTCTTAATTTATATTATCATAGTGGAAAACAAAATGTATTGCATATGAAACGCACCCCTTTGAAAATAGCTGTTTTTTATTTTAGTAATATGTGCTGACATGAGACTTGACTGATGAAGATGTATAATCTCATAACAGAAATATGTTTTCTGATCCTCCTAAAGTATGCTTTGAAGCAGAATTTTGATTATGAATCACATGAAAAACTTTCATATGACATTTAACTCTATGCTAAATTTACCTTTTAAAATAATACTAGGAATTACCAGTCTCAGTGTAGATGGTGAATAGTTTTCCTGGAAGCCAAAGCAGTCTAAAGTGTTTTTAAGTTGAGTGGGGAGCTGGGCAAGGCATCCTGGTGTTAAAGGTCAGATTCAAAGTGCTTGAGTATCCATCCCCAAAGGACATGCCACTCCACAGGGAATTCTCTTCTGGGCTGCTGCAGAATTCCTTTCTGGATTCTCTCCTGTCAGCACACTTATCAGATTTAGGCACGCCTAAAAAAATACTCCCCCAGAAAATGCAAAACTGAGAAAACTGTGCAAACACTGGAAAACAACCAGAGAATGTAATTATCTTGATGGTTAGAAAGAAAATCAAGCAGTATAAATAGAAAGTTTGACCTTGATCATAAAAATCACATGCTCATTCAGAAATGGATCTTTCCCTTAGAAGCAGCCCACGGAAATATGTCAGATGTAAACTCAACAGGAGACTGAGGAGTTCCTGTAGCCACTAAAATTGAATATATGGTGTTAAGAAATGGCAGCGCTTGACCCAAGAGGTGTTTACCCTGGCCAGATATCAGAATCAGATGGGATTCAGAACCAGAATAAAGCAAACTGGCAGCAAGCAACAGAAAGCAAAGAAAAATTCTGTCCAGATGGATTTAAACTGCTGCCAAAGCTTACTGGAACATGCCTAGAACAGGGGTATGAGTTCCAGCTTCTTCTTTTAGGGACCAAATCATTCATGCGAACTGCTTCAGCCCCTAGTGCCACACTTGAGTGTCACCCAGAGAATCTTCAGCATGCCTGTAGAAGGAACAGAAAGAGTAAGGAGACCTGAAATCCCAGAGGGAGGAGAACTAAGCCATGGTCATGCCCACATCGCCCTTCAGTCCTGCCTGTCCTCCTCTGCCCCATCTCCAACCTCCAACCCCTCCAACCTCCAGCCGCCTTGACCCAGCTTAAGCATCAGGATTAAACGAGAGGACTAGAGTAGAAATATCTTTCTGAAAAACGTTTTTGATTTGAGATCTTCAAAAATCAATGACCAACTCATCTCAAGAATTAGTAAATAACCTAAATTGGAGATATTCAGGAAGTATCTTCGTAACAAATCATCGGAGGAATGCAGATTTGCAATGGGCATTGAACAACATGACATCCTTAAAATCCCTTCAGGTCTGTAGGTTCTATAATGAGAGTGGCAAATTCAGTGACAGATGAATTTAAGCATCACCTCTAAATATTGCTTTGTTTGCAATAAGTGTCGCTGTTTCTGATTTTATAGCTGAAGTGCTTTCATTGCATTGTGATTTTATTTCTTTATAACTTTCAGCTCTACAACTTTTCGTTTTTTGATTTAAATATTACCTGTTCAAAAGCATGTTATATATTACTTCTTTAAAAGGTGTGAAAGCTTATGACAGAGGGTTTAATGAAACATATCTGCAAATAAATGTATAAAATCAGGTTTCAATATGCTTCAATATTTTTGTTTGACTTTAGTACCGATTCAAGTACAGATTTTCAGTATTTTAATTTTAAAATGAATAGAATAGATTAGTCCAAGGGTAGTTTTACCTTTAAGTTTAATCAAATATAAAATTTATTATTATTATTTTGTTGTTTTGTTTTGGTACCAGAGATCGAACTCATGACCTTGTGCTTGCCAGGCAGGGCTTAATCCCCAGCCCCAGTATAAAATTTGTTATTGTTTTACAGGCATATTACCAGCTAGGAAAAGGGAAATAAGGAAAATAAGTATAACAAAGTAACATTAATATATTTTAAATATTCCTTGGGATATGTCCATTGCAGGTTTTTATGAAAGATGCCTATGGAGAAATGCAATAAATAAATTATTATAAAAACAAAATATTAAGAAAACAGTAAAAATCTAATAACAAATTTAAAAGAAAGCATTGATAAGCATTTTTATGTGAAAGAATAGGCAATTGAGAGTTGTTTCACAGTAAATGCATTTAAAACAAATATTCATTTCTTTTGTTTAGAGAGCATTTTCTTTTTGATTACGTGCATTTGCCTTAAAACCTACATTCCTCAGGACAAGTCGATCACTTTTCTTCTAAGAACACGTGTTCTTTCTTTTTTTTTTTCTTTTGTAAGCTTTCTAAACTAATACATGAAACAATATTACAGGAAAAACTGAGGTGTTTGCTACTGAGTGACTTCCCATGTGCAGGTAGGCTTCAAATCTGTGTCCCAAGGGCCACCCAACCTCCAGCTGCCCTGTTGCAGTGCAAAAGTTGGAGGCACTTGTCCTGCTGCCCCATCTAAATCCTTGGCCTGTTTTGTCCCAGGTGTCTGCTAAAGTCTAGGGAAAAAAGTGCTCCATTTCCCAGTTCAAAGGATTATACGTATCACCACATGCAATTATATTAATACATTATATTGCATTTTTAAAATATAGTTGATAGTTTATATAAAACCTTGTTTTTCAAGGGGTTTCTACAATGCACAAGGCTCTCTGTAACTCTCAGTTGCTACTGAAAACATGTAAATCCCTTAAAGTTTCAATTCAGTGTGCAGGACTCCTAACATATACGAAATTTCATTCCTTTAAAATTTTTGCCCTTAAATAATAATCTTCAAGTAGAGTATTCAGATATTCTAAAATTTATTGTTTATAAAGTAAAGGCATAATTTTTATGTTCTCTGCATGAGGAGATAATTTAGAAATTTTGTTTAATGTTTAATCATTGCTAAAAATATCTTTTAAATTTTTTTATTCTTAAGTATTCACTATTAAAAATAGATTTGTGAATATATTTTCCTGATGATCGTTCTAGATTCAAGATGTTTGAATCTTTACTAAGCCCAAAGGATGTTTTGTTTTTCCTTTTATTTATTTGTTTGTTTGTTTGTTTGTTTGTTGTTACCTGGGATTGAACTCACAACCTCACACTTGTGAGGCAAGCGCTATGCCGCTGAGCTGTATTACGAGCCCTTTCCTTTTATTTTTATATTTCAGTTTTAAAAGGCTACCTATGTAATTTCAAACACTGAACTATAACCTTCTCTAAAGAAATTCTGAGAAAACCATTTTTAAGCATTTCCCTAGATGAGATCATTCTTTGAGTTTGATCAACTGAATTAAGAAGATCTCAAATTACTTACGGTGAACATGTTCTCCTGCATGTGTGACAGAAATAATTCCAAAGCAGTTCCTCCAGATACTCAGTTCTGCGCATAACCTTTAGAATGAAAAGCCTTTCCAGGTCTTTCCCCCTGCCCTCCCCTATGATTGACAATATGGCATAATAAATAAATAAAAGACCCTTGAGCACAAAGACATGGGTTCAAATCCCAGCTCTTACACTTAAAAGATTTCTTCACTGCTGTAAATCTTAGCTTTCCCCTGCAAAATGGGCGTGGTGATACAACAGTACTACTTTGATAGGTGTCCAGTGAAACAGTCAGTGGATGTACTCCGCTCCTTTGGAAAGGAGCCTGACACCTGGTGAGCGCTGCGTGTGCTGCTGTTATTCATTATGGGATTCCCAGCAATACCGTGCACTGCCCAGGGCTTAGTTTCTCATCTGTAAAACAGCTCTGCAAGTTCCCACTTGCAGAAGAAATTGATATTCCAGCATGCAAACACTGTAGTTATTCAGATAAGGGGAACAAATTAGTTGGCAACAGTAAACGACTAGAGGGACAGAAGACAAGAAAGGAATTAAGATGCATTCTGTACAGTCCATGTGTGATCATTATGTACTGCAAACATGTACTAAGAAAATAACATGAAAAAAGCAGTATCCATTTACGGCTAAGAATAAAATAAATACACTGTCTCAAAAATCACAACTCATCTTAAAACAAATTCACACCAGAACTAAATTGATCCATATACACAAGCTCAGACGGTTCACATGTATTTCTTAAAAACAAGTTGAGCGCCTTGGCATGGACGAGTGTCCTGGGGCTTGGAGTCCAACAGAAGTTGATTTGTGTAACTGATTTTTTCAACACTTCCAACTTTCCAAACATCCAGAGTTCACCAGTATTTTTTTTCTGTTATTCCAGTCTGAACACATGGAAATTTTTATTCATTGCTTTGCTCTTTCTAGTTGTTTGTTATATTCTAGTGCATTTTCGGAAGAAATGCCTGTTTCCGTGCCTCCCATTTCAGATCACCAGCCTGTCCTATTTAGGTTATTGAAACTACCAGCCACCACTCAGACAGAGACTTCATGAGGCTGAAAGGGGACACTGGAGAAATTTACTTTCATATTTATTTTAAATGTCTGTGTATATGTATTGGAAGAAAATTAGAGTTGTCGTTTTTATATGCTGATGAAGTAGTTTTATATTTAAAAACACTTAAATTTTCTTAAATTGTATGTATGTTGAGAATGCTATCTCCAAAATGTAAGCCTGAATTAACACTGATGTAGTCAAAACTGGCCATAGAGGCATGAGACAGACAGACAGCCAGCTATCGTAGAGACAGAGCTTGTAACCCAGACATCCTGAAGGTACATAAACCACAGATACAATCAGAAACCTGCCATCCATCAACTAAACTTATTTACTAATACGCATATACAGAGAAAATATATAATATGAATTATATGTGATCCTTTAACATCGCACTCTATTTCTCTGCAGCCCTTATGTTACAAGATAATCTTTAGCCAATATAACTCTGAAAATTTTTTACAAAAGAACTCTTAATGGATCCATTATTTTTCTGTGTTAATTTAACTTCAGCTATTTGGTATAAAT